TTCTAACGAGACCAAGAACTTGTGAAACGGATGAGAGGTCACTGAGTTATGAGTGTCGGAAGTTACTGATGGGGGGGCCTTCGGCGGTAGAGCGACTTTGGCGGTACGCCTTCGGCGGAAGAACCGCCGGAAGATGCGCCTTGGGCGGTAGACGCCTTCGGTCAACGCCTTCGGGTCAACGCCTTCGGCGATACGGGAGAGTGCATTCGGCGGAAGAGTGAAACCCTCATAACTTTCTCAATGCGCAACGCCTCGACTTGGTTAGGGTCTCGTTGGAAAGAACTCGACGCGCTGATTCTAACGAGCCCAAGAACGCCACGAACGGAGGAGAATTCCGGGAGTTATGAAGGTCGCAAGATACTCAGCTTTCCGCCTGCGCACCGGCGAAGAAAGTTTTGTCCTATGCGCGGACGAAGGAAGTTCGCCTGTGCACAGGCGCTTCGGCGTCGGCGGGAAATCCGCCTTGGGCCCTAGAAATGCGCCTTGTGAGGTAGAAAGTGTACGGCGCCTTCTGCGCCAGGTCATCGCCGCGGACGGCCAGGTCAGTGCCGCGGACGGCCAGGACAACGCCGCGGACGGACAAGTCAGCGCAGCGGACGGACAGCTCAGCGCCGCAGACAGCCAGGTCATCGCCGCGGACGGACTGTGGATAGGCGAACGCCTTCGGCGGAAGAGTAAAACCGACATTACTTTCTCAATTCTTAGCGGTTTGACTTGATTCGGGTCTCGTTGGAAAGAACTCGCAGATTTTTTGCTCGACCAAAAGAGCTCGACCTTTTTGTTCCAACGAGCCCAAGAACTCTTGAAACTGAGCAAGGATCCGTGAGTTATGGGTGTCGGGAGTAACTGTTATAGATAGGCAAAGGTGTGGTCGTGCGTCTTCGGCGGGTGGATGCCTTCGGTGGTGCGCGGAAGAAGATTCCCTCCGGCGGAGATCGGGTGGTCAGGAATGTAGAATGTACAGGTGTGGTGGCGGCGGCGGCGTGAAGTCGCGCAGGGGGAGCAGGCAGCTACCCATCATTGCGGGTGGAGCATGCAGGCGGGCTGTGGGTGTCTCGGCCTTGGATTTTCGAGGTGGTGTGTTCGGCCTTGGAGCTGAGACCTGGTGGTGTGTTTGGCCTGGGAGCGGAGAGTTGGGAGTGTACCAGTGTGCGAGAGCTTGAGGTGTGTGTGTGTGTGTGTGTGTGTTACGCTGCACTGTGCGACCTCCGAGTGCGCTCCGAGTGGACACTTGCAGTATTTCTGGGAGTGACAGTTGCCTGAGAATTCAAACTCCTCAATAGTCTGTTAAACGTGACACTTTGTACCCTGTGTGTTCCTCTGTCCCTGTGGGTTCGACCTTTCTACCACTATATTGCAGTTTTAGCCTTTAGTGGGTTATTACATAAGCCTTGGTTGTAAATTCAGGTTACGCTGCAGCAGGTGCCTTGAGGGTAACCCCTGTAGTATTTCTGGGAATGACAAGTGCGTGAGAATTCAAACTCTTCAATAGACTGTTGTTGTGTTACTGGAATGTTTCACAGTGAGTCCTTCAGTGCGGACCTGTGTTCTCTGCGCGTTTTGTGAGTTGAGAGTGTTGTTCACCGCGTAGGAGTGACTTCGATCCGAAGTAGGCAGTCCAAACCGGGTTTCCTACACTAGCAGCAAGCTAGTGGAAGTGTTGTAAAAGCCGGAGTTGGAAGTCACTGCCCGCAGCTTTGCCGAGTGTACTCTTGAGAGACTTTCCCCCTGAAATCTTGAAGTAGAGGTCCTAACGGATCTCTAGGTTGTGTTTCTGTAGTTTCAGGTGTGTGTGTGTGTGTGTTACGCTGCACTGTGCGACCTCCGAGTGCGCTCCGAGTGGACACTTGCAGTATTTCTGGGAGTGACAGTCGCCTGAGAATTCAAACTCCTCAATAGTCTGTTAAAACGTGACACTTTGTACCCTGTGTGTTCCTCTGTCCCTGTGGGTTCGACCTTTCTACCACTATATTGCAGTTTTAGCCTTTAGTGGGTTATTACACTTAGGTTCGCTGATCCAGCTGCTCTTCTAAGAAATTGAACATCCTGTTTGACAGCTTGCGAGGCAGTGGCCACATGGTAAATATTTATCCGCAAGTGAAGATCTCTTCAGCCTACCTTGATGACCGCGGACTATTCCCAACCACAGCAAAATTAGCATGTTACAATTTCATGAGAGGGAGTGTCGCAGCTGCTGGACTAGGAGGAAGAGAAGCAAGACGACACCAATCAATCAATCGGGTCGCACTCTGTTCCGGAGAAGCTGGATCAGAAACATCGTGCTGCTGCTGCTTCCGTATCGTTTTGTTTTTTTTTCTTCACGCCTCCTCCGTCAATGCTTCTCCTCAAGTCTTCCAGCAAGGGACAGACGGTCAACTTTCCAACCAGTTGATGACCATTGACAACTGTATCCTTCGATGCTCCTCTGTCACATCATAGTCCGAAAGAAACCAAAATAAGGCCCCAGAATAAAACTCAGACAACGGAATCCACAGCATGAGCACTCTGTAGACACATCCTGTGCACACGATTTTGAAGTCTCAGGGAACAAGCGAGGACGGGTCAGGACCCAGTGGGACTCATACCGATCGTGCTGAGAACTGGAGAAGATGAGCAATTTCGGATAGGGACATGGGCAGGCGAGACAAGAATACCGATTCGCAGTCCTCCCTTCTTCCCTCGTGCCAGCAAGTCCCATATCCAACAAGCTGACTGGGGAGGGACCATGGACCCTTTCCACTTATTCTAATACTTCCAGTGTTGAGTCTAAGGAGTGCACATGAGAGCAGACGATATGATCCTCTCTGAACGGGTCAAAGGCTCCACGGACGCTGGCACCTCGTAGTGCCCACCTGGTCCTGAAGTCAACTCCCACTTGCCTTCATTCCCAGGTCAAACGCTCCTCGCTACATGTTCCCCCCTGGACCTGACTGACGCTTGGACCGCTTCTACACATCCACGCGAAACTCACATGAAATATCAGAATTTCGCGCCCAAAATTTCATATTTGGCATAAGTTAGGCTTGTTCCCAGGGGACCCTGTTCAGCATCCATACCCACTGTTATGGAAAAGTCGTGGATTTTTGTTCCAAAACGTAAGTGTGTGGGTGTGTAGGGCATGCCTCATCTGGAGAAAGGTTTATTAATCTCCTCGTATGAATAAGTGTTATCGGTTCTTCAGACAATTACGTCTTTCTTATCGACAACCTCAAAAGAGCCGAAGGGAGTACCGTCATGCGTCAGCTCTATGGTCCATCTAGGCTTCGGATGCTATCTGATTCTGCACAGTTTCAACATCCTGTTCAAGTATTCAAGTCGTTAGATACCTCGAATTCTTAGGCCACCGGTACTTCCTCACCTCAAATTCATCTCGTACAGATGGTAATGGCGTTGGTGTTGTTTTCTGAATGTACATCTTCAGTTAGGAGTATAACACTACTAGCTGTTTTTACGCGTTATATTCAGCAGGAATATCTGATTTAATTATTCTATAAAAGAAAATTCAGCTGACATACGTGATTTTATAAGAGTTTTGGAATACTGTACGAATTGGGAAGATACGGATTGGCAGAACCTTTTCAGCTTTTTGTTTCCTTTTGTTGTACAAAAGGGCAAGAAGAGGATCTACTGGAGCTAGGGTCAGCAAATCGCTTTGCTCCCTTCAGCTGCGCACCTAAGAGCTTCCTTCGCTATACACGTAGGCCAGCTCGAGGTAGACCTTCCGGGGGAAACCTTCAAAGTCTTCCATATCCGAGGTGTCAATACTTCCTCGTAATCCAAAGGAATTCGCTGCTCTTCATCATTTTACAATGATGAAGAGCTTACTCTATAGTATATCGCTACTTGTAGTGTTCCCGGACAACTTTTTTTCTTTTGGTGCCGGAATTGGCCTCATATCAAGCTATAGTAGACGAATTCTCCACCGCTGAGTCTAACCTATGGGTCTCGCTAAACCTGATTAACGTTGATGCCCAAGAATTGGAATGCAACTTTCTGAACTATTATCAAAGATGTATAATTTTCTGTGGTGTGACCGGATCTAATCGATTAGTGATATCCTTCTCCGTTCAATTTATTGCAATGACCATGATTGTTCTTGTCTTTGATCAAAGACTCGAGAAAGCCTCGTCCACCTAACGGCCATGATTGTTTCGATCAAACCATACGTTATTAACATTCTGCGAGATGAATGCAGAATGAATATCCTAGTCAAGGACTTGCAACGAGAATCACATTTCCCATGATATTCAGCAAACCAGGTAGTGTATCCTTTGAAAATGTATGCTTCACGTAAAGAGTCTCTTTAACTTAACGTCCACACGCAGTCCAATTGCAAAAGCATTCTTGATTCGAAACTACCACATTTATACACGTGACAGTTCTGAGCATGCTGGCGATTTAAAATGCACTGAGAACCCCCCGCTATGAAAAAGTATGTTATCAGGGTGTCGCACGAAGAATACGGAAAGAAAAAATCTGATAACGCTTCAACAATATATCATAGGAGAGAGATTTGTGCACAGGTTTTGTTTTACCAGTGAGATGCATTCGAACTGGAGTTCGGCCTCCTAAGAAATCTTGTGAAATATCGGATCGGATATTGTGCATGAATTCTAGAAAAAACATTTTCTTTAGACTATATTGCTCTCTTGTTTAAACACGGATACTACTTGAAAATGATAACACATCTTAAATTTTAGTTCCGGTCCATCTTTCATTTGTTGGACCTTCATCGTGGGACAAAAGAATCAGTCAATCAGGGATATGTCTGGAAGTTCAACATGACCACCCTCACCTGTCAAGGGAAGGATTTTCATCACAGTGAGACTTGCAACGAGACAATATGAACACTCTACCCTCAAAAAGTCATCTGGATAGTTTAGCCGAACACTGATCTTCTTCAGAAACATAACTGTGCGATTCACATGATGGCAAAGATTATAAAAGATTTCTTGTGAAAACTGCAAGGAAGAATTTGCAGAGTTGTATATTGCATGACAGTCTAAACATATGCTTGTCAATTGCCTAGTGACATTCTAACCTCTTCAAAATCCTAACATGTCAAAATTCCACAACGAAGGCCTTTATTCATGCACTTCTCGCACACCCATGCATGCCCACCTTTATCTAAACTGACGTATTTCACCTGATACAACTTGAAGATTTCGGAATAACGATTTTGAAGCTGAGGCGCAAGAGTTTGCTGAATCCTCAACCATGCTTCTTGCAGCTCCTTGTTTTCCCCGCCTTTGAGAAATGCCCTATGATCATCATCACTAATACCGTCTAGTTGAACAATATCAGATTTTAAATCTCCCCAGTCCGGAATCGCCCCGCCCAAACTGACTGTCTTATCCAGTCCAGCCTTCATAGCATAATACATGACTTTGTATGAGATTTCGATAGTTTTCCGAATCCACGAGCTATTCTCCCGATCCAAGCGTATCTTCAAACCTTCTTGATCTTTGACAGTGTGAAACCCAGTCAGTGACTCACACATCAATTGTAAGCGAACGGTTGTTCCGTTATGCAAAAGCGCACTAATTCGATAGAAGAGATTAACATCGTTCGTAACGTAAGGTCTCTTGGGCACACTGGCCTGCTGAAGCGAATCAGAATACTGAATTATCCTGTCCACTTTAGACACAAATGCACTCAGCGTTGACTGCAGTTCTTGGTGCAAAGAGAGTATTTGTCCCATCTTCATCTCCATTCTCTGCAGAATGCTCTGCACTGATCTCAACCTCTCGTCCAAACCATCAATCTTTTGTACAAGCTCTTCTTTTAGCTGGTCCATCTTGAACAAAAAAAGTTGGGTCTCCACACTTGAATTCTCCACACTTGTGCTGGCACGACTCAAGCACCTGGATGTGAGTGATTTGAGGTCTTTCATTGGCAGGAAATTTGAGTCGCTAACCATGTTTTCAGCTTCAGGATAACACTGAGACAAATCATTGTCCACGCTACTTAGACCTTCGTGCAATGACTTCAATTCTTCAATTTGTTTCCGTCGAATCTCGTTCACAATTGCTTCCACATCGCTCTCCCACAACAAATCTCTTGCTCGTTCGGATATTCCGCCAGTGTGCCCTTCAATCTGGGGCCAACAGTGCTCATAGTTGAACAACTCTTCCTTCTTCTCCATCAAGTGCAACCTTTCCATTGACGTTTCCTCAAGTTTGTTTTTGATGCTACAAATGAAGTCCGATTTCAGCTTCTCGATCAGAATGGCTCCTCTGAGATGACTCGGAATCCGCTTCTCCACGCAAAATGTTTGAATCACACCTAGCACTAACGCCACCCCGGGACAGCCTTTTGATGATGCGCAAAACAATATCAATTCCTGGACGATATGCCTCATCACATATTTAGTAGCCTCCTCCCCTGACTTATGCCTTGAGCATAACATCAAAACATCTACGTATTTGTGAGACTTTTCACTGTGAACGTGCTCGATATATATTTGATGCCCTTCATCAAAAAGTCGTAGATAATGTCGAGAGCAGGTAATATTCTCCTCGAGAACATGCATATCGGATTTCAACTTGCGTCTCATGAACATCTACAATCATAGAAAATTTGGTAAATCTCGAGTGGGACATTCAAATTATTCATTGCATTTAATGGAAAGGAAACAATTGCTTCATCATACGCAAATTACAAACAGAACTTGACGCATATAACAATTTATCTGTGTGTGTGAAAGCATGATTCAACCTCACCTGCAAGCGTGGAAAAAATGCAGCCGTCAATGACATTGTTCTCCCATCTTGGCACTGAATCCGAATGCCAACAAACTGTGAATTCTCTCTTGTATTTTCCCAACACATCAACTTCAAGTGCGCCCCTTCTTGATGGTCATGTTCTTCCTTGCTTGCATGCTCAGGGATGAAGGAAGGAATGAAATACTGAGAACTATCTTCCAGCTTGAAACACAAATCTAAATTGACAAGGATGTTTTCAAGCTGCTCTCTGCCCACACCACTCTGGCCATGTGCTTGCTCTCGCAAAAACTCTTCTATCAACCGAACAAAGACACTCTCACTCACAAATCCGTCCTTGCTTGCACCGTATGGGCACGTTCTATTAGAAAACTCTGTCTCTTGAGCTTGAAAGTTTTGACCAAGAGCTATCAGCTCACCCAGGAAGGTATTAGTAAGCCAGTTGGGATCTACAATGATGTACTTAAGGTTGGAAATGTATATGATAGATCCAACCTCATTCAAGTAGAATATGATAGACTCCATTATCTTCGAATCATCCTCAAAGTGACGAGAAGAAGAAGGAATGAATTTTTTCAAGTAGGGAGCACAAAAATCATGAAATTGATCATATGACCACTGAGGGCAACTTCTGTTCTTCTTGGTTTCTGCAACGAAGAGGGAGATGAGTTGAGAACATAATAGAGGAACTTGTGGAGATTTTTCACTCAACAACTTGTTAAAATTTTCAAGAATGTGACGGTTGAGAGGAATAATTTGTTTTTTATTCCTAGCATCCACATGAAAACACTCTTGAACAGGGAGTAGATCCACAAAATTTGCGAATCTTTGGTTGAGTTCTTCAATTATGGTCTGAGTCCAACTCACAGAGCTGTATTTGGCTTTATCTTTGTGAGAAATGACAACAAAAACTTGGGGAAGATCACGTCCCGTGATCTTAACACTGGATGTGATGAAGCTTAACCAATCCTCCAACTCGGTTTTGAAACAAGAGTCTGGTTTGTTTTTAGATGTGTTGTCACAAAAAGGGCTATACACAAAAAGAAAAACACAAAAATTGTTGGTTTGAGGAAATAGCACATTCTGAAGGGTACGAAAAATTGATTGTCCCGCAAGATCCCAAACTGAGATTTGCATTTTGTCAATAGTTTGCAAATACTCCACTTCGATGCCTTTGGTCCTCCAGAGTCGTTCAGCTACTCGGAAGCAGTCTACCCAATCAATGGATAGACTGCTTCCGAGTAGCCAGCTATGATTGATACTCATCAGGGTTTTACGCAGTTGAGTTTTTCCTGCACGATACAAAACAAAAGCATAAAATACACAACTTTTTATTAATGATGCTTTGAATTGATATTATTGAGATACAATATGACATGTTATTATTTTAACGTGAAGATAAATTGATTTAAAAATGTAAAATCACCAAAACAATTGAAGTTATATAACTAATGATTCACACATTTGATGTTTTTCTTTCCGTTACTAATTGTATACACATATCATTATATATAGATCAAAATAGCATTTGTTGTGTCAATTTTGATTTTAGAAAAGTTAAACTATAGATTGCTAGTTGGTGTACATTGAGGAAAAAACTGAGAATGTACAGGGCCTGTTACCTGCTCTAGGAGAGCCGCATAAGAAGAGTCTACCAGCTTTTGCATCTCCAAATGTTAAGTTGGCTTCTCGGAACACAGACATGTAGACGGCCCGCTTTTGATTCTGCTTCAGGGCCTCTTCAATCTGCGCCGCCTTTCCGTCAGTTGCCCATGATGTTCGGGAGACGTCGATTTCCTGGAGAGCCAAGTTAACTTGCAGGACCCCCATCAGGTCCCTGAACGCCTTCTCGTCGAGTTCGGAGTCAGACAAATCCAAGTGAGTGAGGTTCCCTCGCATGCACCGAAGCAGGTCCTCCCATTGCTCCTTCGAAAGATCTTCGCTTCGGACAGATAATTCCAGTCTCTTCAGGACTGAAGTTTCTCCACTTTTTCCATTCATAGGGGGTATACTGAACGTGATAATCTTTCTATCATCTTCGTCTCGAGATATACTCAGAGATTTCAGAGATGTGATTTCCCCTCGCAGTACCCTACCTAATAGGTTTAATGATAACATCACTTCATCTTCACTCACAACATGGAGTGTAATCTCCAGAGTGGGGTCGTTGACTTCGGAGCTAGCAGAACGAGCAAGAGCTTCTATTGACTTCCATTCTTCACCACGAAACCTAACAAGTATAGTTGTCGCTATGGCATTGTCACGTATGGCTTCGCCGAGCTGGTGCGCTTTCTCAGGCTCCATGAGAAGTGGGTGGAGCTCCACTTCCTTCAATGATGGGTTGGAAATAAGAAGTTCCCTTAAACAGTCTCCGAGTCCATCCATATCCTTTAGCCGAAGACGTTCAATGGATCGGTTGCGATCGTCTCCGGCCAATGCTTTCAGCAACAAGCGCCCTGCCCACTCCCTTGCCCGGTCTAAGGTAAATTCTTTCAAAGCCAAGCTCTGGATCAAAGCCTGGGACAGGATTCCAACGGTCTCGTCCTCCATGTCCTCCCAATAGCCGCCTAAACGCAACGTTTCTAATAGAGGAGCACTATTGATCATGTCAGCCACATACTTCACCCCACTCGAGTCCTTCCACGCTCTCCATAAATCTAAAGACTTGAGTTTAGAATCGGAATGTCCTCGCAGTCCTGAGGCGAGATTCGAGAGACATCTGGCACTCAATCTGGCACGCACTGCTAACTCTGTTACGCTAGAGGAATTCAGAATTCTCCCCAGCTGTAAACACAAGCTCTCCTTATCCGCATCATCTGAAGAGAATAACCCAGCAACGGTTATCTTTTTTAGAACGGTGCTACACCTGAAACCTCTGAGAACTACCTCCCACTCCCTTGCCGTCAACGTCGATAAATTTCCCCCACAAAATCTGCGCACGTTCAGAATCTCAAGGGTGTTGCAGCTGCCGATTGCCTCCAGCACTCGAAGACGCACTTGGCTTCGCCACCCTATGATTGTCGAGAGTGGTTCACTCCAGGACACAAAATCGGGAAGCTCCGTTATAGGCTCGCCTTGTCCTTCCAGACGCTGTACAAGGTCCTGGATGGCGGAGGGAAGCTCCGGTTCCTCGTGTGCGGAGTCCATTTCCCGTGTCGCCAGTTCAGCAGCGTGACTGAAGATGGAGCTAGCAGAAAGAGCAAGAGCTTCTATTGACTTCCATTCTTCACCACGAAACCTAACAAGTATAGTTGTCGCTATGGCATTGTCACGTATGGCTTCGCCGAGCTGGTGCGCTTGCTCAGGCTCCATGTGAAGTTCGTCTAGCTCCACTTCCTTCAATGATGGGTTGGAAATAAGAAGTTCCCTTAAACAGTCTCCGAGTCCCTTCATGAACCTCAGCCGAAGACGTTCAATGGATCGGTTGCGATGGTCTCCGGCCAATGCTTTCAGCAACAAGGGCCCTGCCCACTTCCCCGCCTGGTCTAAGGTAAATTCTTTCAAAGCCAAGCTCTGGATCAAAGCCTGGGACAGGATTCCAAGGGTCTCGTCCTCCATGTCCTCAAAATAGCCGCCTAAACGCAACGTTTCTAATAGAGGAGCACTATTGATCATGTCAGCCACATACTTCACCGCACTCGAGTCCTCCCACTTTTCCCACTTTCCCCATAAATCTAAAGACTTGAGTTTAGAATCGGAACGTCCTCGCAGACCTGAGGCGAGATTCGAGAGACATCTGGCACTCAATTCGTCACGCACTTGTAACTCTGTTACGCTAGAGGAATTCAGAATTCTCCCCAGCTGTAAACACAAGCTCTCTTTATCCGCATCAAGAGAATCTGAAGAGATAGAAAAATATAACCCATAAACGGTTATCTTTTTTAGAACGGTGCTACACCTGAAACCTCTGAGAACTACCTCCCACTCGCTCGGCGTCAACGTTGATATTAATCCCCCACAAAAATTGAACACGTCCAGAATCTCAAAGGTGTTGCACCTGCCGATTGCCTCCAGCACTCGACGACGCACTTGGCTTTGCCACCCTATGACTGTCGAGGGTGCTACCCACCGCGGAAAGAACTCCCGAAATTCTGGACCGCTTAATCTGGGAAGCTCCGTTATAGGCTCGCCTTGTCCTTCCAGACGCTGTAGAAGGTCCTGGATGGCGGAGGGAAGCTCCGGTTCCTCGTGTGCGGAGTCCATTTCCCGTGTCGCCAGTTCAGCAGCGTGACTAAAGAAGGACGCACCTGCACCTTCCATTCTCTCCTCCACTCTCAGAGATTAAGAAACGTTTGCTGCTTGGCATGCGCGAGCGAAATGTAACCCGGCCTACAGGAAGCACTCTCCTCGATCCGAAAGCCGGCTCTCCCGAAGAAAACTTATCTTCCCGTCGTAGTGTCTGCTGGGCATGAGACTTCTTGCACTGTGCACAAATAGCAAAACAAATATCACTTCGAGATCTTCCGATACAAGGATCATGAGCAATCACCACGAACGCAGGTAAATTGTGCAAAGTGAAAGCAGCAGTCTAGTTGAGCTCGGGACAAGCGATGGGAATCAAAATTAACACAGAAGACCAGGATTCTGGTTACAATCTAAATCGTGGACCGTGTGGCAAAAAAGACTTCACGTCTATCGGGAACCACTCTGGGAGAAAGAGGTTTGATGTGCACTGGTGACCGAACTGAGTGAACAAGAGATAGCCCTCTCCGTCCTCCGCTTGGGTCAAGTCAGGTCTCTTCTCTCCCTCTCTTCCTTCTTCTCCCTATCCAGAGCGAGCGCTGCCGCTGTGCGGAGTGAAGGATGCAAAGTACCTCGTGTGCCTTCCGACGCTGGCTGGGAAGAAGAAAATCAAAGATGTCGGAGCTCTTGCACGGCCTCTCTTCTTCTGCTCTGCCTCTCTTTGAACGCAGCAACGTCGTCGTCGACTGGAGCGCAGCAGCGGGCAGCGACCTTGCGTCTGACGAGCGAACCAGCGAGTATCTGAAATCAAGTTCTTAGCAAAGACCGCGCGATGTGAAAGCAAAATGTCATAGAATGCATGATGTAGCAGATTTCTCAGATGTGACGAGCTCTGAGTTGTGCAAAAACAGGATGTACACTTGTATTGGGAGACTGCGAATCTAGCTACATGAAGACCAACGGGAAGACAGACACTACGATGGCTAGCTTGGGAAAAAAGCACGCATCCTCTTCAATTCAGATCTTGTCATTGAATCGTGTGAGCGATCAAGGTGATGACAACAGTCGAACACAAATATCGTGTTCCTTCATACTCTGTGATTGGAACATGGTGTTAGAATCTCAGAGTAGATCTTGACTTTGTTGTGCAAGCGGAGAGGAAACGTGGGTGAATGCCTCAGTGTGATGATATACTGGATGACGTCACATTGACAAATTAAATTACAATTTCCTTCTTTAATATTCCATTTATCTGGGATGTTTGATCTATTCTGCCAGAAGAGTAGCACATGCGTAGTCAGCTGTAATAAGAATGTTACGTTTTTTCTTACTTTTGACCCAGAACAGTAGGTTCATACAAAACTGATAAGCTTTTTGGGAATTGACTAACTATGATATCGAAGAACTGGGTACAGAGGATACTGTGTACCATTACTCGAGGTTAGCGCACAGCTCTAGTTCCAGAGTCTGGTGTTCTTTAGGCCTCAAACATGAAACTGAAATCGAATTTCGTCCGTGCTACGATCACTCTTGCTTGTTTATCGTGACGTATACAAGTTGATAGAACCAGCATGAACCAGGAACTTGCTGAGCTCAACGTTAAACCTCTAAAGAAGTTACAATTTTTGAAGTTGCTTGCAAATAAAGAGAAACTGTGCTGTATACATGACTTAAAAAATAATTCTGATGCCAAATGCTAGATAACAGTGATACATGTCTTCAGATGAAGATCTGGTGTAATCGTACATGTAAAGTCAAGTAATTGATATATTTACTGAAATGAAACAAGTCATACTGCCACTTTTGCACTCGTGTGCTCATATCACAAATCCAAACATGTCATATGAAAGAGATAAAACGCATTGCTCATTTGATAAAATAGTTGAAACGTAAGCATTATATTTCATCTCTTTGTCTCTCTTTTTTCTGTTTGAAGCATATTCAGATATAATTTTGCTGCAATATTTAAAATTTGTGATTAATATACCTTTCTATTGGATGCGTAGTCTAATTTGCATATTTATTTGATGATAGTTCCCATCTCAAAATGTTTAACTCATAAACACGATCTAAATAATTGTTTCAAACAAGACAGTATTAAATAAGAGTGGAAGTATCACATTGTTCTTACCATATTTTATCTATATATATTAAATAAGAGTGGAAGTTGGCGAGTTTTCCGCCTTGCGCGGTACACTTGTTCGTACCGCCCCTCGGCCAATCCCCCTCTGCCTTGACGCGTGTGTCCGCATGTCGGACAAAAGTTCAACTCCTGCCTGTGCGCAGGCAGACTCCTCGGCGGATTCTCCGCCGGCGCGGAACTTCATCCTCCTGTGCACAGGCGCTCGCCTGTGCGCAGGCGAATTCCGTGCGCGGCGTCGCGCTGGCGCGGAAGGCGTTGACCGTGGTCAGCCGTCTCCGTCCAGTCTGTCCGTTTCTTGTCTCTTCGTCGGCGCTTCCGCCGCCGCAACTCCGTCCGTCCAAGAGCGCATCCACCCGTCCCGTCCGCATGGTCCGTACAGATTTGATTACTCTGGCGGCTCTTCCGCCGTACGTGGCGCTGCGCTGGCGCGGAAGGCGCCGTACACTTTCTACCTCACAAGGCGCATTTCTAGGGCCCAAGGCGGATTTTCCGCCGACGCCGAAGCGCCTGTGCACAGGCGAACGCCTGTGCGTAGGCGGACTTCGCGCCTCCCCAAACCCTACTTCCCCTGTGCACAGGCGAACGCCTTCGTCCGCGCATAGGACAAAACTTGAGGCCCCCTTCCGCGTAGGCGGAATTCCCGCCGGTGGCGAACTCCTTCCGCCGAAGGCGACCGTCTCCGTATCTTCCAATAGTGATAACTCCCTAAGTCCTCATCCGTTCCAAGCGTTCTTGGACTCGTTGGAATCAGTGCGTCGAGCTCTTTCCAACGAGACCCTAACTTGGTCAAGGCGCCCGAGGGTTGACCTAATTATGGAGGATTTCCTTACCGCCGCGGACGCAACCTCCGAAGGCGGGTTTTGCGCCTTGCGTCGTAGGGGTCCTAACTGCAGAGCTCGCAGGGAGGGTGGTGCCTGTCCTTACTGCCGCACCCCAAATTCTAGATTTTACAAGATCCCTCGAGAATCCCCGCGATCTTCCGGATTCACTCCGTTTTGATGTACCGAAGGCTATCTACAATGCTGCCAGGGTACAATTTTCAAAAAATGTTTTAATTTCCTCAAAATTGCCAAAAGTGGGGTACCACAGTTCTGTATGATTTAATTGCATTGGCAGAGACGAGCATCCTTTCTTACAGACTTGAGACTGGAAACTCAAACCTGAAAGAGAAAGAAGACAGAGAATAATCAATATCCTTCACAATCTTCGGTTCGCTGATCCAGCTTATCTAAGAAATTGAACATCTTGTTCAACAGCTTGCGAGGCAGTGGCCACATGGTAAATATTTATCCGCAAGTGAAGATCTCTTCAGCCTACCTTGATGACCGCGGACTCTTCCCAATCACAGCAAAATTAGCATGTTACAATTTCATGAGAGGGAGTGTCGCAGCTGCTGGACTAGGAGGAAGAGAAGCAAGACGACACCAATCAATCAATCGGGTCGCACTCTGTTCCGGAGAAGCTGGATCAGAAACATCGTGCTGCTGCTGCTTCCGTATCGTTTTGTTTTTTTTTCTTCACGCCTCCTCCGTCAATGCTTCTCCTCAAGTCTTCCAGCAAGGGACAGACGGTCAACTTTCCAACCAGTTGATGACCATTGACAACTGTATCCTTCGATGCTCCTCTGTCACATCATAGTCCGAAAGAAACCAAAATAAGGCCCCAGAATAAAACTCAGACAACGGAATCCACAGCATGAGCACTCTGTAGACACATCCTGTGCACACGATTTTGAAGTCTCAGGGAACAAGCGAGGACGGGTCAGGACCCAGTGGGACTCATACCGATCGTGCTGAGAACTGGAGAAGATGAGCAATTTCGGATAGGGACATGGGCAGGCGAGACAAGAATACCGATTCGCAGTCCTCCCTTCTTCCCTCGTGCCAGCAAGTCCCATATCCAACAAGCTGACTGGGGAGGGACCATGGACCCTTTCCACTTATTCTAATACTTCCAGTGTTGAGTCTAAGGAGTGCACATGAGAGCAGACGATATGATCCTCTCTGAACGGGTCAAAGGCTCCACGGACGCTGGCACCTCGTAGTGCCCACCTGGTCCTGAAGTCAACTCCCACTTGCCTTCATTCCCAGGTCAAACGCTCCTCGCTACATGTTCCCCCCTGGACCTGACTGACGCTTGGACCGCTTCTACACATCCACGCGAAACTCACATGAAATATCAGAATTTCGCGCCCAAAATTTCATATTTGGCATAAGTTAGGCTTGTTCCCAGGGGACCCTGTTCAGCATCCATACCCACTGTTATGGAAAAGTCGTGGATTTTTGTTCCAAAACGTAAGTGTGTGGGTGTGTAGGGCATGCCTCATCTGGAGAAAGGTTTATTAATCTCCTCGTATGAATAAGTGTTATCGGTTCTTCAGACAATTACGTCTTTCTTATCGACAACCTCAAAAGAGCCGAAGGGAGTACCGTCATGCGTCAGCTCTATGGTCCATCTAGGCTTCGGATGCTATCTGATTCTGCACAGTTTCAACATCCTGTTCAAGTATTCAAGTCGTTAGATACCTCGAATTCTTAGGCCACCGGTACTTCCTCACCTCAAATTCATCTCGTACAGATGGTAATGGCGTTGGTGTTGTTTTCTGAATGTACATCTTCAGTTAGGAGTATAACACTACTAGCTGTTTTTACGCGTTATATTCAGCAGGAATATCTGATTTAATTATTCTATAAAAGAAAATTCAGCTGACATACGTGATTTTATAAGAGTTTTGGAATACTGTACGAATTGGGAAGATACGGATTGGCAGAACCTTTTCAGCTTTTTGTTTCCTTTTGTTGTACAAAAGGGCAAGAAGAGGATCTACTGGAGCTAGGGTCAGCAAATCGCTTTGCTCCCTTCAGCTGCGCACCTAAGAGCTTCCTTCGCTATACACGTAGGCCAGCTCGAGGTAGACCTTCCGGGGGAAACCTTCAAAGTCTTCCATATCCGAGGTGTCAATACTTCCTCGTAATCCAAAGGAATTCGCTGCTCTTCATCATTTTACAATGATGAAGAGCTTACTCTATAGTGTATCGCTACTTGTAGTGTTCCCGGACAACTTTTTTTCTTTTGGTGCCGGAATTGGCCTCATATCAAGCTATAGTAGACGAATTCTCGTTTATATATATATATATATATATATATAGCATTTATTTCCAAAAGCACATGTTTGTCAACATGTCTTTGTTTGGACATTTTCAGTTGTTTATCATTTATCATTATCGTGAAACAGTTTCACTGTTTATCGATTGAAAATCACGAAGTGTCTCCAGCCGTTGGACACAAGGTTTTAGCATTGCCGTAAGCTACATACATGCATCAATAATCTCTCGTTTCTTTAGAAATGCCTGGAGATGCGATGACAGACCGCCCATACTCTGCAGCCTTGTTTGGAAACAGCCGAGTTCATGTCACACAGAGTGAATGAGTTTTAACGCTGTTAGCCATCAGTTCGAACGCTGCAAGGTCACAAACTAGTGGGTTGCAATCATGGTGGCTGGAAATGATGAAGAACGGTATGGAGTAGTATCTGTGGAAATATGGGTGCAATGGATGCCATGCTTAATACACGAGCAACACCTGTGAGCGTGAAGCGCTAAAACTGGGGGCCAAGCTATGAATTCTCCACTCGACGAAGATTTCGTCATCATGCGTCTCTGTAAAGACCACGTCCTACTAGAGGAAGAAACAAACTTTTATCTCACACATGTTCGATGGGATCAATAATAATTCACCAGTAGTACGGTACGAATTATATCAATAACTTATAAACATGTTCAAACCACGCCAAAATCCTTTGTTTGCAACTTGATATTGTTCATATTCGTAGAATCCTCCAAAGCTCCGTGGTCCATCTCCTCAAGGGCAACGAGCATAAGAAAGGCATAGGGGGTTGCCTGTTCTCACTAATGCATTTGTCTTTCTTCCATAAGTACCTCGTTTCTTTCACTCGTAGTTCATTTCCTCTGAGCGTCGAAAGAGCCGCGTGCCTATTTGTGTGAGTGTAGCCACTTCAGTACTCAGATCTCACAGCTTGTTTATGAGTGGTCTTTTGCAGGGCAGGGAACGTGCCATGTTGCAGATTTTGCGCGCTTGTGAGTGAATAGCGTGTGAACATGCTGGTTGGTGTCAGGCCAGCAGCAGCAGCACCTCCGCATGTGCTGAGGTTGGAAATCGAGAGGCAATCCATCAATCCATCGCGACCTGGTGCCCTTGAGATCCGCAGACTCTGAAGCTGCGCTAATTAATTAACAACAGATGCACCGGATCTCGTTGACGCATCTTATCTCCTTAGAAAGGGGGTCCTGCTCTATGAGCAGAATAAGGAAGCTCCATATTGTACCGAGTCTAAAGCCGGTGGCCCTATTACTATAACCTATTCAGCACCAATTTTTCAATCTCCATGTTCCGCTTCGTCTTAATTTCAACGCCTTTATGATTTACAATTCCGCAAATTATCAAAGATGAGAAATATGTTTATTGAATTTTTTCTTCTGCTGTGGTCATTGGACTCATGTTGGCTCAGATTGTGACCTTGGATTGACATACTTCCTACGTTCGAATTTCCTATCCTATACTGTTTCAAATTCTTTCAGATCAAGGAGATATCTGTACCATCAATCTTTGTTAAAGTGGGGAATGGATCCATCTACTTTATTTTTTCTTCAGTCTTAAGATTAAACCAGATATTTTTGGAACATATTGCTTTTAAATGTGTGGAAGTTTTCTATCTAATAGGTATACAAAAGTTGAGTACCATTGAGCGTGACTGAGTACAGTCTTGTTAGCCGATTTATTTAAGTTTGTCTTCTGCCCCAAAGAGGAAATCACTCTTGCTAACCGAATGAATATTATGAATTATATCATCACCAAATCCTTCAAGTTCTCATATCATGCTTTTTTTTCCACTTTGCTGATCGAGAATTGGAATAATAAGTCACACTTGCTTATGCAAGGAGAGCAGAAGTCTTCCAGGTCAAAGAAAGGAATTTGTCCAATTGAAGAATGGAGGATGCGTGTGTGGCTTATGGTATATGATGGCCGACAACATGCACTCGAAACTCCAATTTATGCAATCTTTATTAAAGTTTTATGGATGTGACGGCCTTCAAGTATATGTGTTATTCTTTCACATGATTTTGTTTGAATGTCATTTGATCAAATATTTTTTCCGAGTGATTTGTGGAACCTAAACCCTATTTTTGTATAGTGATGTATGAATGAACATGACAATGTGTGCAGTATGTTATCATCATGCCGAGCTTTAGTGGAGTATTGTTATCTATGTGAACAAATCACTAGATACTTCGTATATACAATCACAAAAGTTGGCATATGAAGTCCTACATCATGCTTCAAATGAAGACTAATATTTTTTTTTTCACTTTCATTATTTTGTCATACATTTTCATACAAAGCACCTTTTTTGCTAACATCTAGAGGAAATCATCTATGTGCTTGAAGTGTTTGGAAGGAACAACAAAGATTGTATCTTAATTTCAAATTTGAGTTATAATTTCATCGATATATCATATCGATGTATTTGTTCATAGAGCAAAATGTTGAGCTTGTAAAACATGTTACATTGCATGAAATGACATACTTGATGTGATAACTTTCAGAAATATAGTTAGATTTATTAAGTAAATCAATAGATATAATTATCAGATTTTTATCTTCATAATCTTGCATGATCTCCTACATTTGGGCATTGGTAGAATATAATTTTCATGTATACAACATTTATAGATGTATTGTAACATTACATATGAATTTTTATCAAAATTAAATATAGATTTCATTATCATATGAGCATACATTCTACAATATTGAACTATGCATATAAGTGTTATCACAAATTATAAATCTTGGAGTTACTATATACTAAAGACACACGCATGTTGATTTAATCTTGATATTAGAGAATCAATTATATCACAGTGTGGCAAAAAAGATTTAGTGAAAAAATTAACCATTTTCAATTGTTTGAATTAAATTAGAACATAAAGTTTTTTAAAGATTAACAATTTTATTAAATAAACTAGTTAAGACTTGTACTAAAATTTTCTCTTAACAAAATTGTGTAGCAATTAATTGTACTAAATTTATGTCGGTCTCCTCCACTAACCTTCTATCATCGAGAAAAATGTAGCGATCAGTGGGTTCTGTATGATTTAATTTCATTGACAGAGACGAGCATCCTTGCTTACAGACTTGAGACTGTTAACTCATCCCTGAAAGAGAAGAAGAATCGACATCATTCACAAGCTTCGGTTCGCTGATCCAGCTGCTCTTCTAAGAAGTTGAACATCCTGTTTGACAGCTTGCGAGGCAGTGGCCACATGGTAAATATTTATCCGCAAGTGAAGATCTCTTCAGCCTACCTTGATGAACGCGCACTCTTACAATTTCACGAGAGGGAGTGTCGCAGCTGCTGAACGAGGAGGAAGAGAAGCAAGAAGACATCAATCAATCATTCAATCGGGTCGCACTTTGTTCCGGAGAAGCTGGATCAGAAACATCGTCTTGCTGCTGTAGCAGGTTGACTGTCCCGCCAATTTCAAATAATATTCGAGTATAAGGAAGCAAAGTCTCACAAACTCTACACCATCCTCAACCTAACTGGTTCTCCAATCACAGGACCAACATTTGACAAAGGACGTCCGAGCGGCCGGGTTGATCTCTTCAAGATCCTGCCGCTGCAATCCCCGACTGGTGTTTCGAGGCCATAGTAGTAAAGTACACAACTGCGCATCTTGAACAATGCACGATCTCGGATCATGCAGACACCCGAGATCTGGTTTGGCAAACTAATTCTACACCGCTAAGTCTAAGCTGTGGGTCTCGCTCAACTTGATTAACGTTGATGCCCAGGAATTGAAATGCAGTTTTCTGGACTATATTCAAAGATGTATAATTTTCTCTGGTGTTACCGGATCTAATCAATTAGTGATATACTTCTCCGTTCAATTTATTGCAATGACCATGATTGTTCTCGTTTTTGATTTCGGAAGACTATTTACAACTACGTAAACAAATGTTGTTTACGCAGTTGTAAATAGAGAAAGCCTCTTCCACCTAACGCCCATGATTGTTTCAATCAAACCATACGTTATTAACATTCTGCGAGATGAATGCAGAATGAATATCCTAGTCAAGGACTTGCAGAGAATCACATTCCCCATGATATTCAGCAAACGAGGTAATACATCCTTTGAAAATTTATGCTTCACGTAAAGAGTCTCTTTAACTCAACGTCCACACGCAGTCCAATTGCAAAAGCATTCGTGATTCGAAACTACGACATTTATACACGTGACAGTTCTGAGCGTGCTGGCGACTTAATATGCACTGAGAACCCCGCTATGAAAAAGTATGTTACCGGTAAGATGCATTCGAACTGGAGTTCGGCCTCCTAAGAAATCTTGTGAAATCTTCTGATCATAGAAAGAAGCGCCAGAAGAAGATTCACATGAGCTATGAATTTCTCAGCTTCACAGATCGGATATTGTGCATGAATTCTAGGAAAAGCATTTTCTTTAGACTATATTGCTCTCTTGTTTAAACACGGATACTACTTGAAAATGATAACACATCTTAAATTTTAATTCCGGTCCATCTTTCATTGGTTGGACCTTCATAGTGGGACAAAAGAATCAGTCAGTCAGGGATATGTCTGGAAGTTCAACGTGACCACCCTCACGTGTCAAGGGAAGGATTTTCATCACAGTGAGACTTGCAACGAGACAATATGAACACTCTACCCTCAAAAAGTCATCTGGATAGTTTAGCCGAACACTGATCTTCTTCAGAAACATAACTGTGCGATTCACATGATGGCAAAGATTATAAAAGACTTCTTCTTGTGAAAACTGCAAGGAAGAATTTGCAGAGTTGTATATTGCATGACAGTCTAAACATATGCTTGTCAATTGCAAAGTGACATTCTAACCTCTTCAAAATCCTAACATGTCAAAATTCCACAACGAAGGCCTTTATTCATGCACTTCTCGCACACCCATGCATGCCCACCTTTATCTAAACTGACGTATTTCACCTGATACAACTTGAAGATTTCGGAATAACGATTTTGAAGCTGAGGCGCAAGAGTTTGCTGAATCCTCAACCATGCTTCTTGCAGCTCCTTGCTTTCCCCACCTTTGAGAAATGCCCTATGATCATCATCACTAATATCTTCTAGTTGAACAATATCAGATTTTAAATCTCCCCAGTCCGGAATCGCTTGGCCCAAACTAACTGTCTTATCCAGTCCAGCCTTGAGAGCATAATACATGACTTTGTATGAGATTTCGATAGTTTTCCGAATCCACGAGCTATTCCCCTGATCCAAGCGTATCTTCAAACCTTCTTGATCTTTGACAGTGTGAAACCCAGTCACTGACTCACACATCAATTGTAAGCGGACGGTTGTCCCATTATGCAGAAGCGCACTCATTCTATAGAAGAGACCAACATCGTTTGTAACGTAAGGTCGCTTGGGCATTTTGGCCTGCTGAAGCGAATCAGAATACTGAATTATCCTGTCCACTTTAGACACAAATGCACTCAGCGTTGACTGCAGTTCTTGATGCAAAGAGAGTATTTGTCCCATTTTCATCTCCATTCTCTGCAGAATGCTCTGCACTGATCTCAACCTCTCGTCCAAACCATCAACCTTTTGTAGTACCTGGTCAATCTTGAACAAAACAAGTTGGGTCTCCACACTTGGATTCTCCACACTTGTGCTCGCACGACTCAAGCACCTGGATGTGAGTGGTTTGGGGTCCTTCATTGGGGGAAAATTCAAGTCGCTAACCATGTTTTCAGCTTCAGGATAACACTGAGCCAAATCATTGTCCACGCTAATTAGACATTCCTGCAATGACTTCAATTCTTCAATTCGTTTCTGTCGAATCTCGTTCACAACTGCTTCCACATCGCTCTCCCACAACAAATCTCTAACCAGTTCGGATCTTCCGCCAATGTGCCCTTCTATCCGGGGCCAACAGTGCTCATAGTCGAACAACTCTTCCTTCTTCATCAAGTGCAACCTTTCCAACGGCATTTCCTCAAGTTTGTTATTGATGCTACAAATGAATTCTGATTTCAGCTTCTCGATCAAAATGGCTCCTCTAAGATGACTTGGAATCAGCATCTCCACACAAAATGTTTGGATCACACCTAGCACTAATGCCACCCCGGGACAGCCTTTTGGTGATGCGCAAAATGATATCAACTCCTGGACAATATGCCTCATCACATATTTAGTAGCCACCTCCCTTGACTTATGCCTCGAGCATAACATCAGAATATCTACGTATTTGTGGGACTTTTCACTCTGAACGTGCTCGATATATATCTCATGCCCGTCAAGGAAAAGTCGCAGATAATGTCGAGAGCAGGTAATATTCTCCTCGGAAACATGCATCTCGGATTTCAACTTGCGTCTCATGAACATCTACAATCATAAAAAATTTGGTAAATCTCTAGTGAGACATTCAAATTATTCGTTGCAGTTAATAAAAAGGAAACATTTGCTTCATCATACGCTAATTACAAACAGAAGTTGACACTTACAACGATTTATCTGTGTGTGTGTGAAAGCATAATTCAACCTCACCTGGAAGCGTGGAAAAAACGCAGCCGTCAATGACATTGTTCTTCCGTCTTGGCATTCAATCCGAATGCCGACAAATTGTGAAGTCTCACTTCTATTTTCCCAATACATCGACTTCACGTGCCCCGCTTCTTGATGATCCTGTTCTTCCTTGCTTGCATGCTCAGGGATGAAGGAAGGAATGAAATACTGAGAACTATCTTCGAGCTTGAAAACAAATCTAAATTGACAAGGATGTTTTCAAGCTCCACTCTTCCCACACCTCTCTGTCCATGGGGTTGGTTTCTCAGAAATTCTTCTATCAACTGAGCAAAAACACTCTCACTCACAAATCCGTCCTTGCTTGCATATGAACTTGTTCTATTAGAAGGCTCTGACTCTTGAGCTTGAAAATTTTGACCCAAAGCTATCAGCTCACCCAGGAAGGTATTGGTAAGCCAGTTGGGATCTACAATGATATACTTAACGTTAGGAATGTATACTATAGATCCAACATCATTTAAGTAGGATATGATGGACTTCATTATACTTGAATGATCAACAGAGTGAGCAGGAGATGATGGAACAAATTGTGTGATACTGGGAGCACAGAAATCATGAAATTGTTTGGATGACCACAGAGGGAAACTTCTATTCTTCTTGGTTTTTGTAACTAAGAGGGAGGTGAGTTGAGAACACAATAGAGGAACCTGTGGAGATTTTTCACTCAACAACTTGTTAAAATTCTCAAAAATGTGACTGTTGAGAGGAATAATTTGTTTTTTCTTCCTAGAATCCACGTGAAAACACTCTTGAACAGGAAGAAGATTCACAAAATTTGCAAATCTTTGGGTGAGTTCTTCAATTATGGACTGAGTCCAACTCACAGAGCTGTATGTGGCTTTATCTTTGTGTGAAATGACAACAAAAACTTGGGGAAGATCACAGCCCGTGATCTTAACGCTGGATGTGATGAAGCTTAACCAATCCTCTAGCTCAGTTTTGAAAGAAGAGTCTGGTTTGTTTTTAGATGTTTCCTCACAGAAAGGGCTATACACAAAAAGAAAAACACAAAAATTGTTGGTTTGAGGAAAGAGCACATTCTGAAGGGTACGAAAAATCCATTGTCCCGCCAGATCCCAAATTGAGATTTGCATTTTGTCATTATTTTGCAAATACTCCACTTCGATGCCTTTGGTCCTCCACAATACGTCCCATTTATTGTATAGACTGCTTCTGTGTAGCCAACTATGATTGATCCTCATCAGGGTTTTACGCAATTGAGTTTTTCCTGCACGGTAGAAAACAAAAGCACAAAATACACAACTTGTTATTAACGATGCTTTGAATTGATATTATTTTCATATGTGAAGATAAATTTGATTGAAAAATGTAGAATCACCAAAGTAATTGAAGTTATATAATTAATGATTTACACATTTGATTTTTTCTCCTTTTCGTTACTTATTGTATACACACATTATTATATATAGATCAATATAGCATTTGTTGTGTCAATTTTGATTTTAGAAAAGTTAAACCATAGATTGCTAGTTGGCCTACATTGAGTACAAAATTGAGAATATACAGCGCCTGTTACCTGCTCTAGGAGAGCCGCATAAGAAGAGTCGACCGGCTTTTGCATCTCCAAATGTTAACTTGGCTTCTCGGAACACTGACATGTAGACGGCCCGCTTTTGATTCTGCTTCAGGGCCTCTTGAATCTGCGCCGCCTTTCCGTCCGTTGCCCATGATGTTCGTGAGATGTGGATTTCTTGGAGAGCCAAGTTAACTTGCAGTACCCCCATCACGTCCCTGAACGCCTTCTCGTCGACTTCGGAGTCTGACAAATCCAAGTGAGTGAGGTGGTTCCCTCGCATGCACCGAAGCAGGTCCTCCCATACTCCCTTCGAAATATCTTCGCTTCGGACAGATAATTCCAGTCTCTTCAGGACTGAAGTTTCTCCACTTTTTCCATTCATAGGGGGTATACTGAACGTGATAATCTTTCTATCATCTTCGTCTCGAGAGTGTCTGAGTATACTCAGATATTTCAGAGATGTGATTTCCCCTCGCAGTACCCTACCTAATAGGTTTAATGATAACATCACTTCATCTTCACTCCCAGTAACGAGTTCAAGCTCCACTGTGGGGTCATTGACATCGGAGCTAGCAGAAAGAGCAAGAGCTTCTATTGACTTGAAGTCATCCAACCTAACTGGCGCACGAAGAAGGATAGTTGTCGATATCGCATTGTCACGTATGGCTTCGCCGAGCTGGTGCGCTTGCTCAGGCTCCATGACAAGTCGGTGGAGCTCCACTTCCTTCAATGATGGGTTGGAAATAAGAAGTTCCCTTAAACAGTCTCCGAGTCCAACCATATCCCTGAGCCGAAGACGTTCAATGGATCGGTTGCGATCGTCTCCGGCCAATGCTTTCAGCAACAAGCGCCATGCCCACTTCCCCGCGAAGTCTAAGGTAAATTCTTTCAAAGCCAAGCTCTGGATCAAAGCCTGGGACAGGATTCCAACGGTCTCGTCCTCCATGTCCTCCCAATGGCCGCCGAAACGCAACGTTTCTAATAGAGGAGCACTATTGATCATGTCAGCCACATACTTCACCCCACTCGGGTGAAGTATGTGGTTGTGGTCCATCCACGCCCAATCTAAATCTAAAGACTTGAGTTTAGAATCGGAACGTCCTCGCAGACCTGAGGCGAGATTCGAGAGACATCTGGCACTCAATTCGTCACGCACTTGTAACTCTGTTACGCTAGAGGAATTCAGAATTCTCCCCAGCTGTAAACACAAGCTCTCTTTATCCGCATCAAGAGAATCTGAACAGAATAACGCATAAACGGTTATCTTTTTTAGAACGGTGCTACACCTGAAACCTCTGAGAACTACCTCCCACTCGCTTGCCGTCAACGTCGATACACGGTCCCCACAAATATTGCCCACGTCCAGAATCTCAAAGGTGTTGCAGCTGCCGATTGCCTCCAGCACTCGACGACGCACTTGGCTTCGCCACTCTATGATTGTCGAGCCTGATTCACCATAGGGAAAGAACTCACAAACTTCTGGGTCATAGATTAAATCGGGAAGCTCCGTTATAGGCTCGCCTTGTCCTTCCAGACGCTGTACAAGGTCGTGGATGGCGGAGGGAAGCTCCGGTTCCTCGTGTGCGGAGTCCATTTCCCGTGTCGCCAGTTCAGCAGCGTGACTGAAGATGGACGCACCTGCACCTTCCTTTCTCTCCTCCACTCTCAGAGATTAAGAAACGTTTGCTGCTTGGCATGCGCGAGCGAAATGTAACCGGGCCTACAGGAAGCACTCTCCTCGATCCGAAAGCCGGCTCTCCCGAAGAAAACTTATCTTCCCGTCGTAGTGTCTGCTGGGCATGAGACTTCTTGCACTGTGCACAAATAGCAAAACAAATATCACTTCGAGATCTTCCGATACAAGGATCATGAGCAATCACCACGAACGCAGGTAAATTGTGCAAAGTGAAAGCAGCAGTCTAGTTGAGCTCGGGACAAGCGATGGGAATCAAAATTAACACAGAAGACCAGGATTCTGGTTACAATTTAAATCGTGGACCGTGTGGCAAAAAAGACTTCACGTCTATCGGGAACCACTCTGGGAGAAAGAGGTTTGATGTGCACTGGTGACCGAACTGAGTGAACAAGAGATAGCCCTCTCCGTCCTCCGCTTGGGTCAAGTCAGGTCTCTTCTCTTCCTCTCTTCCTTCTTCTCCCTATCCAGAGCGAGCGCTGCCGCTGTGCGGAGTGAAGGATGCGAAGTACCTCGTGTGCCTTCTGACGCTGGCTGGGAAGAAGAAAATCAAAGATGTCGGAGCTCTTGCACGGCCTCTCTTCTTCTGCTCTGCCTCTCTTTGAACGCAGCAACGTCGTCGTCGACTGGAGCGCAGCAGCGGGCAGCGACCTTGCGTCTGACGAGCGAACCAGCGAGTATCTGAAATCAAGTTCTTAGCAAAGATCGCGCGATGTGAAAGCAAAATGTCATAGAATGCATGATATAGCAGATTTCTCAGATGTGACGAACTCTGAGTTGTGCAAAAACAGGATGTACACTTGTACTGGGAGACTGCGAATCTAGCTGCATGAAGACCAACGGGAAGACAGACACTACGATGGCTAGCTTGGGAAAAAAGCACGCATCCTCTTCAATTCAGATCTTGTCATTGAATCGTGTGAGCGATCAAGGTGATGACAACAGTCGAACACAAATATCGTGTTCCAAAACTCTGTGATTGGAACATGGTGTTAGAATCTCAGAGTAGATCTTGACTTTGTTGTGCAAGCGGAGAGTAAACGTGGGTGAATGCCTCAGTGTGATGATGTACTCGATGACGTCACATTGACAAATTAAATTACAAATTTCTTCTTTAATATTCCATTTATCTGGGATGTTTGATCTATTCGAGCAAGTGGACGTATTCTGCCAGAAGAGTAGCACATGCGTAGTCAGCTGTAATAAGGATGTTACGTTTTTTCTTACTTTTGACTCAGAACAGTAGGTTCATACAAAACTGATAAGCTTTTTGGGAATTGACTAACTATGATATCGAAGAACTGGGTACAGAGGATACTGTGTACCATTACTCGAGGTTAGTGCACAGCTCTAGTTCCAGATTCTGGTGTTCTTTAGGCCTCAAACATGAAACTGAAATCGAATTTCGTCCGTGCTACGATCACTCTTGCTTGTTTATCGTGACGTATACAAGTTGATAGAACCAGCATGAACCAGGAACTTGCTGAGCTCAACGTTAAACCTCTAAAGAAGTTACATTTTTTGAAGTTGCTTGCAAATGAAGAGAAACTGTGCAAAGTACCTCGTGTGCCTTCCGACGCTGGCTGGGAAGAAGAAAATCAAAGATGTCGGAGCTCTTGCACGGCCTCTCTTCTTCTGCTCTGCCTCTCTTTGAACGCAACAACGTCGTCGTCGACTGGAGCGCAGCAGCGGGCAGCGACCTTGCGTCTGACGAGCGAACCAGCGAGTATCTGAAATCAAGTTCTTAGCAAAGATCGCGCGATGTGAAAGCAAAATGTCATAGAATGCATGATGTAGCAGATTTCTCAGATGTGACGAGCTCTGAGTTGTGCAAAAACAGGATGTACACTTGTACTGGGAGACTGCGAATCTAGCTACATGAAGACCAACGGGAAGACAGACACTACGATGGCTAGCTTGGGAAAAACGCATGCATCCTCTTCAATCAGATCTTGTCATTGAATCGTGTGAGCGATCAAGGTGATGACAACAGTCGAACATAAAAATCGTGTTCCTTCATAGTCTGTGATTGGAACATGGTGTTAGAATCTCAGAGTAATCTTGACTTTGTTGTGCAAGCGGAGAGGAAACGTGGGTGAATGCCTCAGTGTGATGATGTACTCGATGACGTCACATTGACAAATTCAATTACAAATTTCTTCTTTATTAATCCATTCATCTGGAATGTTTGATCTATTCGAGCAAGTGGACGTGTTCTGACAGCTGAGTGACACATGCGTAGTCAGCTGTAATAAGTATGTTACGTTTTTTTTTACTTTTGACTCAGAACAGTAGGTTCATACAAAACTGATAAGCTTTTTGGGAATTTACTAACTATGATATCGAAGAACTGGGTACACAGCAGTTAGTGCACAGCTCTAGTTCCAGAGTCTGGTGTTCTTTAGGCCTCAAACATGAAACTGAAATCGAATTTCGTCCGTGCTACGATCACTCTTGCTTGTTTATCGTGACGTATACAAGTTGATAGAACCAGCATGAACCAGGAACTTGCTGAGCTCAACGTTAAACCTCTAAAGAAGTTACAATTTTTGAAGTTGCTTGCAAATAAAGAGAAACTGTGCTGTATACATGACTTAAAAAATAATTCTGATGCCAAATGCTAGATAACAGTGATACATGTCTTCAGATGAAGATCTGGTGTAATCGTACATGTAAAGTCAAGTAATTGATATATTTACTGAAATGAAACAAGTCATACTGCCACTTTTGCACTCGTGTGCTCATATCACAAATCCAAACATGTCATATGAAAGAGATAAAACGCATTGCTCATTTGATAAAATAGTTGAAACGTAAGCATTATATTTCATCTCTTTGTCTCTCTTTTTTCTGTTTGAAGCATATTCAGATATAATTTTGCTGCAATATTTAAAATTTGTGATTAATATACCTTTCTATTGGATGCGTAGTCTAATTTGCATATTTATTTGATGATAGTTCCCATCTCAAAATGTTTAACTCATAAACACGATCTAAATAATTGTTTCAAACAAGACAGTATTAAATAAGAGTGGAAGTATCACATTGTTCTTACCATATTTTATCTGCTTTAGAGATTATGATTGTACGAATTTTTCAGCTTTTTCAGTTGTTTTTAATATTTGGCGCTTTGACTCTTGGTAACTTTTATGTAGATACATCATCATAATTGAATTGATGTCATTACCTTGAATCGTGTGAGCGATCAAGGTGATGACAACAGTCGAACACAAAAATCGTGTTCCTTCATACTCTGCGATTGGAACACGGTGTCAGAATCTCAGAGAAGATCTTGACTTTGTTGTGCAAGCGAAGAGGAAACGTGGGTGAATGCCTCAGTGTGATGATATATTCGACGACGTCACATTGACAAAGTCAATTACAAATTTCCTCTTTATCAATCAATTTATCTGGGATGTTTGATCTATTCGAGCAAGTGGACGTGTTCTGACAGCTGAGTGGCACATGCGTAGTCAGCTGTAATAAGCATGGTACTTTTTTTCTTACTTTTGACCCAGAGCAGTTGTCTACATAATTGAAAATAACTTGTAGGTTCAGAAAAAACTGATAAGCTTTTTGGGAATTTACTAACTATGATATCGAAGAACTGTGTACAGAGGATACCAGTACTCGAGGTTATCAACTGCTGGTATGATTGTTCTTCTACCCCAGCAGTCAAGCATGTGAATGCGTGCACAGTTTGGAGGTCTTTAGACCACAAACATGAAATCGTTATTGAATTTTGATCGTGCTAAGAACACTCTTGCTTGCTTGTTTATCGCTTGGTACAGAAGACGACAGAAACAGCATGATCTGGTTACTTGCCACGTTCTATGGATCTGTGTTTTCACCGTTGTTACCGCCAAAACATATGGGATTTTACATTGAAAAGTGTGAGCGATCAAGGTAGCAAAAATATTATAACTCAAAAAGCGTGTTACTCCCTACTCTGGGATTGGACAATGGTGTTACAAGGTCAGACTAGATCTTGACTTTGTTGTGCAAGCGCACAGCATACGTGAGTCACACTTAATGCATCAGTGTGATGATACATTCGATGTCGTCATCTGACAACAAAGAGTTCACCCTACTCTGTGATTGGACAATGATGTTAGAAGGTCAGTGTAATAACCCACCAAAGGCTAAAACTGCAGTATGGTGGTAAAAAGATCGAACCCACAGGGACAGAGGCAACACACAGAGTACAAAGTGTCACGTTTAACACACTTTTGGAGAGTTTGAATTCTCAGGCGACTGTCACTCCCAGAAATACTGCAGTGCTCGACTTGGAGGCCACTCGGAGGATGCTCGACTCGGAGGTCACTCGGAGGATGCTCGACTCGGAGGATGCTCGGAGGATGCACAGTGCAGCGTAAGTCACTCAACACACACACACACCTGAAACTGGAAAAGCACAACTCGGAGGTCGGTCAGGACCTCCGCTTAGGATTTCAGGGGGAAAGTCTCTCAAAAGTACACTCAGAGGCTCTGCAGGTAGTGACTCCCACTCCGGCTTTTACAGCCCTTCCGCCAGTTTCTGCTAGCGTAGGGAACCCGGATTGGACTTCCCACTTCGGAACAAAGTCACTCATACGCAGTGGACGTCACCCTCGACTCACACCAAGCGCAGAGAGTACAGACCCGACTGAGAACTCAACTTAGACACAATCCAGTAACACACACACATAACCTAAATTGATAACCAAGGTTTACACGAAGTAACAAAACTTCACTTTGGCATTCAGGGGAAACTTCCCGTAGGAGTACAATCAGGATATGTCACTCGAAGGTGTAAGGGGGAACTGTTCAAGTATCTAACTCGCAACCGGCTCTAAGCATCAGAAATCACCCGCAGGTGCAGATCCGCACTACTCAAGTCTCTAACCGGTGTACTAGCTCTGAACATTCAGCCGAAGGCCTTCAGCTACAACATGCGGTAACTTCACTATGCTGCAGCTCCTCTACGTGGTGCCAGGACCAAATGCACAAACACGCCGAGAAAGTGAGTTCCTGATCTGCATTTCCGGAACTGGAAGAATCCCAAGGCAAAACGCCTTGAACTACTTTATACCCTCTAAGGTCCTAACTAACACTACGCTGCACTATCTACTACTCTAAACTCCTGCACGAAACCAAGCTACACTACTACACTCTGCAGATCCGGTACTGCGCCTCCTGCGCGCCGGACTGCCTCGCACTTTCTCCCTACCCTGCCAATCTTCCGACCGGCTGCGCAACCCCAGCCGCCGAAGGACTGCAGTCACTTCCGACTCCAAGTGCGCCATAGTGTCGCGCGCACCCGACAAGAAGGCCTCTAATTTCCTCGCTACTCGCCGCCGACTCCGACTGTCACCCTCCGTCAATGCCGCCGCCCAAAGCTCAAACTCCCTGAGCGTGATCTTCTCTTGGGCCGCCACTTCCCAGTGGGCGTATCCTCTTAGACAGTGAGTCACCCGCGTCACCAACTCCTCTCGCGTCCGGCTGCTGCCTTCCACCTCTGCTAGCTGCATCTCCGCATCTGCGCGCTGCGGCCTCAATTCCGCGCACTCGGATTGCAAGTTGCGCAACAACTCCTCATCCTCCTTGCGCGTGTTTTGGCTTTCCTCTAATGCGCGCGTCTGGCGCGCAAGCTCCTATGTTAGAATGCGGTTTTGTCTCCGCTCTTCCTGCAATTCCGACTCGATCTTTGCCCGCATTAGCTCGGCATCCGCCTGGGCTTTCGTCGCCACATCCTCCCGCTGTTGTTGCAGGGTTTGGTGTAGCCTCTTCGTGATCGCCAGGTGCTGTCGGAGGGCAGTATTCCTATCCTGCAATGTTTGGCACCTAGTGGCCCAGGTGGCCACCTTGCTCCTCGTCCTGCTCTTGACAATCTCCACATAAGACTGCAATTTTCTGGAACTCGAGTACTTTGCTGTCTTGCGATCCAAATATCGCAGGAGTGACACTATCTGCTCGCACAGTACCCCTGTTGGCGTCTTCCGCATAGAGTCCGCTTCCTGCTTTTCCGAACTCGTCTCATCCTCTGTTTCGAGGATTTCAGTCGCCACAGAATCTCTTGGCGACTCCCTGGAACTGTGGCGCGCGGCAGCTTCCGCCGCGACTACCGCTCCACTCCCTGCTAAAATATCCAAGGCAGTGGGGGATTGTAATAACCCACTAAAGGCTAAAACTGCAATATAGTGGTAGAAAGGTCGAACCCACAGGGACAGAGGAACACACAGGGTACAAAGTGTCACGTTTTAACAGACTATTGAGGAGTTTGAATTCTCAGGCAACTGTCACTCCCAGAAATACTGCAAGTGTCCACTCGGAGCGCACAGTGCAGCGTAACACACACCTGAAACTACAGAAACACAACCCAGAGATCCGTTAGGACCTCTACTTCAGGATTTCAGGGGGAAAGTCTCTCAAGAGTACACTCAGCGAAGCTGCGGGTAGTGACTTCCAACTCCGGCTTTTACAACGCTTCCACTAGCTTGCTGCTAGCGTAGGAAACCCGGTTTGGACTGCCTACTTCGGATCGAAGTCACTCATACGCGGTGAACAACACTCTCAACTCACAAAACGCGCAGAGAACACAGGTCCGCACTAAAGGACTCACTGTGAAACATTCCAGTTGTGGTACCCCACTTTTGGCAATTTTGAGGAAATTAAAACATTTTTGGAAAACTGTACCCTGGCAGCATTGTAAATAGCCTTCGGTACATCAAAACGGAGTGAATCCGGAAGATCGCGGGGATTCTCGAGGGATCCTGTAGAATCTGGGATTTGGGGTGCAGCAGTAAGGACAGGCACCACCCTCCCTGCGAGCTCTGCAGTTAGGACCCCTACGACGCAAGGCGCAAAACCCGCCTTCGGAGGTTGCGTCCGCGGCTGTAGGGAAACCCTCCATAATTGGGTTGACCCTCGGGCGCCTTGATCCAGTTAGGGTCCCGTTGGAAAGAGCTCGACGCACTGATTCCAACGAGTCCAAGAACGCTTGGAACGGATGAGGACTTAGGGAGTTATC